AAATGTAAAGGATATTAAATTTAAAGGGAATTTCAACCACTGAACAGAGTTTAGAGTTAAATTCTTTGGGCCTTTCCAGTGTTTTCTCCAAAATTACCCAGCTTCTTCTGAAGACCCTGAACTGTTCCCTCCCTGCTTTCTTCCCATGACTAGTTGCAATAAGCACCCTTTAAGAAACCCTGTCGCCACAACACTTCCTCCATTTCTACAGCTCTTAGCCTCGCCACTTGACATCTCCAGAAGAAACCTTGAACACACTCTTTTCTTAAATCCAAGTACAACTCTTACAGGTGATGAGAGGGGAGGAGAGCTGGCTGTCAGGAGACTCCATGCACACTCCTAAATCTGCAAGGGTGAGACGTTGGCACAGACAAAAGAATAATAAAAGTCCAGCAAAGTCCCTGACGGGGCAGCACAACACTTTATCTGAAAAGGCAGAACAAAGAGGGCCTGTGAAACGCTTCCACTGTGTTTACTTTACAAGGGAACAATGCCTTTAAGAGGAGGGGGCAAGAAGTGATGTGGCACTTTGGGCCTCTGAGAGAATAACAGCACTTCAATTTGATTAGAAGGGAGTTCAGAAAGCTTTTCTTGCTTGCCAATTTATGGCTACAGAGACACTGGAATAAAACAAAGGTAATAAACAGAAACGAGGGAAATCTGCATTATTCTGAAGAGGTGTTCTTTTATTTCTGTCAGAAAATAAACAAATGGCTGATGGAATACTAAACATGTAGCTTGATAAACACATAAAAGTTTTTATAAGCGTAGTGATGGAAAAAAAACTGACTACAATCTTCAATAGCTGTTCATGAAGAAGTGTGGTCACCTGTATAAAAGTATGGGTGTTTGGTGGTTTGCTGATTTTGGTTTTTACATAATTTCGCTCAAAATTATGATACTTGTCTTTTATTCAGACAGTCAACAAGGCTGACATCTCTGAAAAGATTACAAAGAAATGCAGAAGGAGAATTGATTTATAAAAACGTGCTTTTCTTTAATTTTTTTAATTACTTGGGTGTAATCACAAAAATACTTTTCCAAAATCAATTTAAAACAATTTATCTTTCGTTCCCATCACCCTGATCCCTTTCTTCGATTTCAGGCTGAAGTTGGGTTCTCCCTGGACAACATCAAAAAGTTAATTTTTCTTTCAGTCAGAAGAAACACCTAAATGTGCACCAAAGTATGAATTACAGGTTCTTCTTAGCTGAACAGTTATTGACCTTAAAGAAGCTTATCAAATTATCCAGTCGCACAATTTAAATTGTGAAAATGTCAAAAACAGAAAACAATTCTGCAGGCCTCAGTTAGGATGTAAAATGTGGCTCAGTTGGCATTTGAATGAACCAAAACACTTCTGGAACATTTACATAAAACCATTGAAAATATTTGGCCATGTTGCACAGCATCATGTTTGGAGAAAACCAAACAATACAAACTCTTCATACCAACTTTCAAACACATTGATGGAGGAGTCATAGTTTGGGCTTTCTTTTGCTGCAGCAGGTCTCTGGGACCTTGTGGTCACTGACACAAGCATAACCCATTATTCTCAACTAAAATTGGTCATCAACAGGACAATGATCCCAAACACAGCAGCTAATCTGTCACAAAAGGGCTGAACAAGAGAAGAAACAGGGTGTCACAACCATTTAGTTGAAGTAAATCCATCTGTCCATCCATTCATTATCTTCCGCTTAATTTGGAGCAGCTTATCTGCAATCAAGGATGTTTTCTTTTATTTATCAATAATCAAGTTACTGCTGGTGGAACAGTCATTTGTAGTATCCTTTCAAATATTTCAGAAAGTATCATGGCCCAAGTGTTTATTTATTGGCTCCTTCTGAGAGATACAACAGCCAAGGTTTGGTCCAGCCAACCACATCCGCGTAAACAAACAAAACTTGTTAAAATAAGAACTGGGTGCAATAAAATAAATTGCACATTTTATTCTGAATTTCCAACATTTGGAGAGCAGGCCAGTCTCCTCTTTGATCAGCTCATCTAATTGACACGAGTCAAACCATTTCGATCAAATGCCAGTGGTTAAATAGCCTCTTTGTGAAAACTAATCACTTCTCCCGTCATTTGTTTGTAAATGTAACAAACTGAAGGCGATTCATATGAGGAAGGTGGCACACAAACCCCATTCCAGTGATCTGAGGCTGCTTAACGCCTGATGAGAAACACGTGCTGTGACACCAGTCGTGGCCCAGAGTGGAACGGAGAGCGCTGGATGGGATTCAGATGTGAGTGAATCCACTGGGAGTTCAGGGGGTGGAGGTTCTCCCCTGCTCCAAACAAGAACAACACAGGATGTGATGAGGCAAAACCTTTGAGCAAAATAAAAAACATCCTCCTTAAATCTGCAAATTCCTCCACAACAATAGATAAAATGTCTGCCAAGATTTTTTTTCTCATCGTATTTACCAAACGTTGCAAATAAATGAAAGATTTATGGGTAATGAGGTCATCCAAGAAGAAATTAAGTATTGTCACTTTGAAGCTACTAAATGGAAACATCCCATTATGGCTGTCTAACAGTGTGTACCACTGTTGGTATACATGCAGACTGAAATGAGGTTTGCAGCATATGACCCAAATGCGATCCAGAAGGAAGAAACAGTTCTGCAGGGCTGGTGCAAAGAACAAAAACTGACAAAGTTTGTGAGGTGTTTTAAGATCGCTTCTCCCGATAAAGCATCTCCAGCCGAATTCCTTTTGTCCGAATTGTTTTTTAAAATGTCACTCATGCTGCATAGCATAGCGTGACATGCCAGCTTTCCCTCATCCATCCAATCAATGGGGGGAAAATGAGAAACTGAGAACGTGAAAGGGTCACAACCCCAGGGATGGAAATGATCCCCCAGTTGCTACTGGGTATCCTGTGTATAAACACGGCAGTGGAAAAACATTAGTCTAAGTCTGTAGGTTTATGCTGTAGTGCTATTAGGTCTCGCAGACAGAGAGGACATCAAACACTTTCGATATGACCTGCTCATTCATTCTGGATGTTGAGTTCACTGCAGTGCAAAACTAAACCATATTCAAACGAACTCATCCCCATTTTATTACTCTACAACAAACATCTCACTTTTTTGCAAAAAACCAAGACAGTAATCCATCATTTGAAAGTAGGAGGACAACACATGGATTCTGAAATTTTCACATATAGCAATTTGAAAAGTGTGGGATATATTTGTTTTCTGTCACATTTAACGCTGGTAGCCCGAAAAAAAAAATAAAAAAACAGCTGTAACCTAATAAGGAAATGGATTCCTGTGTTGTGCAAACTGATAGGCTTGCAAAGAGAACATTCATCATACAGCCAAGAGGTAAATGGCAACTCTGGAGGTGCTGCACATGTGCACAGTTCAGGTGGGAAAATCTGTCAACAAATTGTGTACGTTAAATATTTGGCTTATTTGATAAAGGGACAGGAAATGTGGTCAGAGTTAATAGGAAGATAGATGAAGCGACTGTAACTAAAAGAAAAACTTGAAATAAAACTTCTTAGAGGCAGCATATGACTTACGATGAGAGAAGATAATGACTCTAAACATGCAGCAACAGTTACAAATGAGTTATTTACATCAAAGCAGATTTATATGTTCCAAAGGCTCAGTCAAAGTCCAGACCTAAACCCAACAGAGGACTAGGGTCATGACTTAATAATGAATGTTCACATATGCACTCCTAACCTGACTAAGCCTGACCTATGTAACAAACACACAAATGACTTGCAGGTGTCATTCATAGTATTACCTCAGGGGCTAAGGAGGCTAAATACAAATGCATGCCACACTTTTCAGATTTTAATTTTTAAAAATATTAAATATTAACTTACAGCTATGTTCCATTTTTTTGTTAAGTGGCTTATCACATGAAATCCCAATAAAACATACTGAACTTTGTTTGTGTAGGACTTTTTAGGGCACTAATAATATTTTCCAGCAAATGGATTGTTATAATGACACAATTCAAGCCTCGACTGAAACCAAACCAAAGTTTAAGATTTGATTATGAAAAAGTGAAGCTCTTTATTCTCTATTTAACTCAGCAATCTTGTAAGCAGAGAAGCAGATTGCTATCTCAATTGGAAGAAAAATGAGAGAACATCTGATATTTCAATATGACCTTCACAAACTGTTAGTTACATCTGCTAACATAATATCACACTTTGTCTCTGATATTTACAACTAACACAAATCAATCTCCAAGAAAAGAAGCAGCTTGCATCTTTTTGTGTTTTTTTTTATTATTATTTTTATTGTAGCTGCTCATAGCAAGGTGTATGAGGTCTGGTTAATGGTTTATAAAATAATTTAAAAAATCACATTTGGTTTTGATTTCACTGGCAGCAAGCCATCAGCTAACTAAATCAGGCCTAAAGTTTCTACATTACATATCAAAAAAAAAAAATAAACTCACAGGGCAACTTAAGTTTCTCTTATACCTAAACATCTTTTTAGAAAGTCTGAGGAGGTCAGACAATTTTGGTCACTTATTGCTAGTGGAGCAGTTCCTGGTGGAATAAAGGTACTCTAAGACCACCCCAGTGCCAAAACACCCTCAGGCAGCTCAAACAGAAAAATTCAGGCTCCGATATTGCATACCTGCACGGCAAGACCACATGAATGACTCTTTTTCATTTCTACAACATATATTATATGAAAGCACATCATATAACCACTGATAAGAATATGTTGGTGACGTAAAAGTAACAAAGGAGCTTGTAAAGCAGACATGCAAGACTACCTTTTTATCAGGGCCATGATAGCAAAATAAAAGCCTGTTTTACTGATCTCTGTTAGAATGGCAGTTTATTATACAAGTACTTTGGAATTTATTAATCATATTGCGTTGATGTCAAATAACTGCCAGTAGTTGAGTTCATGTCCTTCCCCTGCCAAGCAGATCAAACAAGCCATCCTTTGCTAAATTTAAGTTCCCTGTTAGGTGCTTTCAAAGAGTAAAACAGTCAGCAATGTTCTTACCTCAGCACGCTGTGTTCTGGGCTGGCTGGCATCTGTCTCAATGGCGTACACGTCCACCAGGTACAGGTCGGACCCTTGTTCCCTGTCCAGCTCCGCAGCAGTCTGTATCACTCCAGTGTGGCGTCCAATGGTGAAAAGGCGTCCAACGGCTTTTCCTCCACTCCGTACTGCCACAATGAAATACTCCACTTTTGATGAAGAGCTCCTTGGACTTGAGGCATCCAAGGAGATGACATTTGTTCCCGGCGGTTGGCCTTCTTTAAGGATGGTTATGTATTTGGGCTGAGAGAAAACGGGTCCATCTATCCCTTGAAGGATGATTGTCAGTTCAGTTCTGGAGGTCTTACGGTCGGTGCCGTGGTCTGTTGCTGACACTGCCAGAGTGTACATGAGTCGAGATGGGACCAGCTGGGAAGCCAGGCGAATATCCCCGCTGTACCTGTCCATAATGAAGGTGTCTGCATCCCCTTCCAGAAGCTCATACTCCACTTCCCCGTTTTCCCCATCATCAGGGTCTAGGGCCATCACTGTTGTCAGGATGGAGCCAATAACAATGTTGGGCTCAGCCACAAGAGCATTCTGGGATACAAAAGTAGGAACATTGTCATTGAGGTCTGTAACCCATATGGTGACATTTTTCAATGCAAATCGTCGGAATTCAGCTGGAACTGCCTGATCTGTGGCTTTGATGGTCAACTCAAACAGGTTAGAAAACTCCCTGTCAATTTCCTTATTGGTGTAAATGAGCCCAGAGCTTGGGTCGATGTTGAAGTGGCTCCCTCGAGGAATCTGCTGAACAATAGAGTACTGTAGCTGTCCATTTATGTCTGCATCTGTGTCGTGAGCTATAATGGTCATGACCGAGGCTGAGAGAGGAAGATTTTCAGGGATAGATTTGAAAATGTCTCCAGGGGCAAATATAGGAGGATTGTCATTAAAATCCCGCACATAAATGACCACAGGTATGGATGAGGAGCGAGGAGGTCTACCGTTGTCCTTTGCAGTTATGTTGAGTTTGTAAAGTGATTGTGTCTCAAAGTCCAGTTTTTTAATCAGAAAGATGCTGCCGGTGTTGGGGCTAATACTGAAAGTGCCGTGGTTGTTTGTGGCTGTGATGCTGTATGTTATGTCTGCATTCCGACCCGAATCTGCGTCCGTGGCAGTAACAGATGCCACAAGCTCCCCTATCCTCATGTTCTCTAGCACATCCACAGCCAGGGAGGATTTAGGGAAGGATGGGGAGTTATCATTTTCATCCAGAATGCTAATGCTCAGAAGACAAGAGGAAGACAAAGGCACAGTTCCAGCATCAGCAGCTATAATTTTAAGTGAGTAAGAAGAAGTGGTTTCATAGTCCAGCTTTCCAACTAAAGTCACCTGTCCAGAGTTGCTATCTATCGTGAACTGATGTTCCTCATTTCCCTCAACAATGTGATAATGAACAAGTCCATTTTTGTTCTCATCCACATCTGAGGCAGAGACCCGCAGCAGCTGAGTCATGTTTTGAGCTGACTCAGAGATGGAGGCCTGATAAACGTCTTTGGTGAATTTCGGAGGGTTGTCATTGATATCTTGAATGTAAACCTGTACCTTGGCCTGATCTCTGAGGGGTTTTGGGAGACCCTGATCTGATGAGATGACAATGAAGCTAAACACAGCAGCACCCCTTTGCCTCATCAGTGACTCACGGTCCAGCTTCAGTGTGCTGGTAAGCTCCCCGGTGATGGTGTTTAGCTCAAAATTGGGCTGCGGGATTTCAAATGTGTATCTGACCTCACTGTTAGGGCCAAAGTCCTTATCCTCAGCAAAAACATACCCAACAACCGATCCTCTCGTCTGCTCCTCCTCAAAATGAAACACATAATTAGTACTATTAAAGAGAGGACGGTTATCGTTCACGTCGTCCAGGATCACAGTGACATTTACTGAGGCGCTCAGTGGTTCCACAGCCCTGTCTTTGGCTTCAAGCACCAAGTTATATCTGTCCTGAATCTCTCTGTCCAGCTCTGTTTTTATGTATAACTGTCCATCTGGAAAAATCCCAAACACATCACCCATGTTGCCACTGGTGATGTCATACATAATCTCCCCGTTGAGACCAGAGTCTTTGTCAGTGGCCTGCACTTTAAAGAACCGGCTGTTGACAGGTTCAGACTCTAAAATGATGACTTCGTATGAGAGCTGATCAAACACAGGTGAGTTGTCATTGACATCATAAACGCTGATGATCAGGATGAGGCTGGAGGTTAGCCGGGGAAGCCCCATGTCTGCAGCCATGACTTCGATCTCGTAAGAGCTTGTTGTGACCTCCAGCGGGCCAGTCAGTGTGATCAGACCATGCCGCTCATGGATGTGAAACAGGCCTTTTGGGTTCTCTTTCAGGCTGTAGCTCACCATGCCGTTGGGACCTTCGTCAGGGTCTGATGCTTTTGCCTGGAATATTACATGTCCTGTACTCCAGTTTTCCACAGCGCTCACATGTTCCATATTGTGAATAAAATGAGGAGCATTATCATTTAAGTCCTTCACAGTTATGTTTACAAATGCCTCTCCAGTGATCTCGCCGGCTCTGGCTACAATTTTAAGCTGATAAAATTCTTGCTCCTCTCTGTCTATCTGACTGGATGCTGTGATCTGGCCTGCATTGCTCACAGAAAAAAGTCCCCTCTGATCACCTGAGGTGATTAGATAGGAAATGTTTGTGTTTAGGTCCAGTGTGGTGGCCGACACGGTGCCTATGACTGTCCCAAGTGCTACGTTTTCAAACATGACAAAGCTGTACACCCTCTGATTGAAGACAGGTGGATTATCCTGTGTGTCTATAACAGTTACAGTCACAATGGCCTGGGTGTGTGAGCGCACGCCTCCTCCATCTGCTGCTGTCACCTGCAGCTGGTAAGCCGTTTTTTCCTCTCTGTCCAGGGGTACTAGAGTAGTGATTTTCCCTGTATTGCTGTTAATACGGAATTTGGAAGTGTCTCCTGCTGTAATGATGTATTTGACAGTTCCATTCTTTCCCAAATCACGGTCTGTGGCTGAAACAGTGGTCACATAAGAACCTGAGGGTTCATTTTCTTTCACATTGGCAAAATACTGAACAGGATAGAACACTGGTCTGTTGTCATTGATATCCCAAATGGTGATGTTGACATTTCCTACAGAGTGCAGTGGGGGGCTGCCTCCGTCTGCTGCACGGATATGGAGCAAATATGAGGCCTGTTGCTCCCTGTCCAGCTCCACGCTTGTGCTTAATCGGCCCGACACGGCATCCAGACGAAACAACTCCTGGATGCTGGCAGGGGTCTCTGCGTCAAATGAGAACCGGATAGTTCCATTGGCCCCGAGGTCGTCGTCTGAGGCAGACAACAGCACCAGTTCAGTGCCAGCAGGAGCATGCTCCACCAGAGAAACGTGATATGTGCTCTGAGTAAATGTAGGCACTTGGTCATTCACATCCGTGATGTTAACTATCAGTTTAGTGTAGGAAATCTTGGGCTGCAGCCCCTGGTCTTTGGCACTAATGTTGAGCACAATTTCAGATGCGATTTCTCTATCCAGCAAAGTGGCACTGGTAACCAGGCCACTGTTTTCACTGATGGAGAACCAGCCCAAAGTGTTTCCAGACACCAGAGAGTATCTCAGGTTGGCGTTCTGCCCAGAATCACCATCTGTTGCAGAAACCCCTTTAATGTAGCTGCCTTTTGGAGTTCCTTCACTGACATCTACTCTGTACAGTGTTTCCTGAAATATTGGGGGGTGATCATTAATATCATTCACAAAAATAACCAGACTGGCAAAGGAGGACCTGGCCATAGGTTTGCCATTATCTGAAACAGAAACAGTCAGATTGTATGAGGAAATCCTCTCTCTGTCTAACACACTCGCAACTTTAATCAAACTTAGATTGGGCACAGAAGATGTTTGCACTTCAAAGTGTCTCTGCTCGTTGCCTCCTAAGATTGAAACAGATATGTTGCCATTAGCTGTGGGTGAGTCTGAGTCTGAAACTGTGAGCAGAGCTACAACTGTGCCTATCTGTGCATTTTCATCAACGGAGGCAAATTTAGAAGTGGTGGGAAAATACCTGAACTTCACGACGGGGTCATTATCATTCACATCTAAAAGTTTTATTGTGGCTTCTGTCCGGCCTGACAGAGAGGGAACACCATTGTCTACAGCATGAATGGTCAGTGAGTACTCTTTCTTAATCTCATAGTCTAATCCCTCCTTTATAATAATAGTACCTAATTTAGGATCAATTTGAAAAGGTGTCCCCTCATCTAAATAGTACCTGATTTCAGCATTGGCTCCCTCATCCTGATCTGATGCTGTGATCTGCAGGATGCTTGAACCTACTGCTGCATCCTCGAACACACTGGCTTGGTACTGATCTAGCTCAAAAACAGGGGGATTGTCATTTATATCCTGAATAGTGACGTTTACTTGCAGGTAGCCAAACTTTTTCGGCTCTCCTTTGTCCTCCACTTCGATCAGGAGCTGGTAGAAGGGGGTAACCTCTCTGTCCAGTCCAGCAGTTAGGACGAGGTGCAGGAATGCCCCCTCCCCGCTGGGGTTGACTGTAACATCCAGACTGAATCTCCTCTGCTCGTTCCCCTTCACTATCCTGTAAGTGGTGTGATCAACTCCGTTGCTTCCAATGTCAGAATCCGTGGCAGTGTCCAGGATTACTTGTCTCCCACTGCTGGCGTCCTCCTTAAAGGACACCACTATGGACGCATCAGGAAACACCGGAGAGTTGTCATTAATATCCAAAACCACGATTCGGACCTCCGTGGGGTAGGTCGGCTGGCTGGATAGCACCACTACGTTAATGACATCACTTTGCAGAACTTCTCTGTCAATCACCGATGATGTGGAAATGACTCCCGTGGTGCCGTTAATCGCGAAAAGTTTGTGGTTTTCGCTGAAACGGTACGTGAAGCTGGGCTTGGTCTCTATCGTGCCCACATAGGTTCCGACAGGCTGCTCCTCCAGGACACGGAACTCTTGGCGGACTTGGCTGGACGCGCAGCTCCGCGGCAGAGTCCACAGCATCAGCAGAACAAAATGAAACCGGCCAAAGCCTCTAACTGTGAGCGCCATGGTCAGTCAACCTGTCCACCTTTCTCAGACAGAGTCCATGCCGATGATGCATCAACTTTACAAAAGTTAGAGCCTCCACAGCATTGTATTCCACAAAGTTTTCTGCAGCCAAAACTCAATGAGAAAAGCAGCAGCAGCTCTTCCCCTCTATCCGCACTGAAGTGTCCCAGAAGTACTCCACAAGTGTTATTTCATCCAGCTGCAACAAAATCCTTTGGATGGAGGAAAATTATTCCTGCAGATCAGGAAAGTTTCATTTCAGCTTCTCTGATTGCCTTTGCTTTTGGTTGCTTTTTTGTTTTGTTTTGTTTTTTTTTGTTTTTTTGCGCTGCTAGAAAAAGCCAGAAAAAAATTTCCAGATCCTTGGAAATGCCTAAAGAAGTTTATAAAAAGTTAGGGCGCGCTGAGCAAACGCGCACCGTCCCGGGGAATAACGGTGCTCCAGTCATATTGCGCTCAGGAGTCCCAGTAAGTTAGAACAAAGCTGGAGTGGAACAAACTCCCTCCCATCACTGATCCCATTGGATGCCCTGTCTTCTGTCTGCCCGCCCTCTGCCGGCCCTGCTTATGGAAGCTCAGCTGGTGGTGGAAAGTGTCAATCAAACGTACAGGTAGCGATATCCCCCGGAGATTTGTTTTAAAGCTGGATTCATTTCCAGAAGACAATATTTTCCACACATTTAGATTTAAGAGGGGTGTTCAAAATGAAGATCTTAATAAAAAAAAAAAAGATAGTTATTTTGATACATTAAATGCCTTACATTGTAAAAATTATAATGTCAGTCTCACGCTTTATGTTGTTTAATTTCAACATTTAAAGTCTTATATTAAGTATCTAGAATATTACTAAATTTTACAAGAAGTTAAGTTAAAGGTAAAGAAAAATACCCTTTAATTATTAAAGGGTATTTTGCAGATTACAAATGCAAAAGTCAGGTTGTGGTCATTCATTTGCAGTCTACGTACATTGACTGGTAAATAAATATAGCAGTTTAAATTGTCTACTCTTACATAAAAAACAGAAGTTCAGTTTTATGTCTTAAAATTGGTTATCTAATATAAGTCATATTCTCATACAGCTTTATGCCAAACGTTGTTATTTGGTGTACAAATATGAGTATACACTACCATCTAGTGGTCATATTGTGATACTACCAAAACAAAGTAGGTAAGAGTTGCTGATGACGGTTATTCGTTTCAGCATCTTAAAATGGTGACCTGCATGATGTTAAAACATATATTACTACTTATTATTATTACTCATGTCACTTCTACTACCATCCTCGTATGAGCAGTACAAGCCTTTAAAAGTACAACAATAACAACTGAATAGAGCTGTAGGTGAAAACTATGACATAAAAGCATGAAACAAAGAAGATGCATTGCAATGATGGCAAAGAAAAAAAAACATTTCAGGGGCAAAGCACAGTTTTAAGGTGGCTTCTTTTCTTTATAACACAGTTATTATCTTTGTTTTTTGAGTACTGAAATAACTTTCAAAATTATTTTTCATGTATTTGATTTCTTTTATGTAGATTTACAATTTCCTATGTTAAAGACAAAAGCAACAGTTACACAGAGCTTTTATACTGTGTAAAAGCCCAGTGAATGATTTTACACAGTTATTACTAGATTTAGGTTTTTGATGAAAAAAAATTACAAAGAAGTGGTTCACATATTAGTCGAAGCATCTCTGGGATAATCCAGGCAGCTCTTTGGAGAGGTAAAAAGTACATCCCTTTACATAAAATGTTGTTCATAAGGAGATAGCATCTCCTGATTAATAAGACTAACATCCAGCAGCAACTTTGTCAAAAACGGAACATAGTAGCAAAATAAGAATTGAATGTCACAGCGATCTAAAGTTAAGCAGAAATTTAAGGTAGTTTTTCATAAAGTAAAGCAGAAATCTAAATCTTACTAATCTGTGCTCAGAGATCATTCTTTGGATCTTTGCCCACTACTTTTTGGAGAATCTCTGTAAATCTCCCAGAGGTCTGCAAAGGAAAGCAAACTGAGAAGGCAAAGGAAAAAGGCCTGGCAAACAGGTCCATTTAAAGTCCAAGTAGAGCAGTAGTCTGAATGTTTTGCATTGGCATTCAAAACTGTCAAGTTAAAAGTATTCTGTGGCCAAGCAAGTTTTCTTGTTTTCTATTTTGCAAAATTGTAAGAACTACTATTGTTTATTTTTTTATGCTCCATAATGAACTAAACACAAGGAAAGTAGTGTGGTTTCTGTGGAAAATGGATGTGTAAATCATTGTAGATCCAAAACATAAACAGGGTCTTTTAGGTTTGGCTGGTGAAAAAATAAAATAAGCACAGCTTACAATCTCTCTAATTTTTCAACTTAGCTATCTTTGTCTAGATTTGTTTAATGTGGGTAATTTCAGCAACAAGAACAAAATTTGTCTCACTCTTGCTTTATTTAGCCAAGTTTTATAAAAAGGTCAGCCCACGCGCATAATACACTTCATGCAAGACACGGAGGTGGAGGGCGCACCAAAAAAGTCAGACTGAATCATGATAATTACTCGTAACAACATAGTTAAATAAAAATGTGTGAAGCATGTTAACAGACATAAGTACAAAAGTGACAAATTTTTCCAGTCGTTTAATCTGTCCTGCTTCAAAGATAATTTACTATTTACCCCAATGTTGCAGTACGTGAATCCAAAATAATTTAACTTGCCTTTATGAATTCTGACCATTTGTAAAAAACTAATTTTAACAGTTTTATTTAAATTTGTGTATTCATCAATGGCCCAAGCTGGCAATACAAATATACTAAATTTTAGAACTGTGGTTTACATAAAATTGTCCTGAGCACCACAAATGACCTCCAGAACTCTCTTTGGGCAACCTTGCAAAATAATTGTAATAAGACACCATTTTGTCATTTTTTTGCTCTAGATCTTACGAAGAGAATCAAGGTAGCAGTATAACATTAATGCAGGATGAGGATGTTCAAAGTTTTTTGCACATTGAACCAAACATCTTGATAGATTCTAGAAACAGCTGTGTGATGTCTGTTTACACGTATGAGAGGTCGAGTTCAGGTCAGACAGGTTTAAGGAAAACTGTAACTGAAGAAGGAGGAAACTGTTTAAATTTCAATGAAATTACTCCTGCTGCTGAACTTCTGCACTCCTGTGAAATAACATCACAGAGGGATAATTACAACCCCTCCTGGCTTTGAGCGACATAAATGTTTATTCAGGTTTGTTATTTGACAATTTGTGGCTTCTGTAATCAGAGCACTTATTGCCTGGATGTTAAGTAGGACATGAGTCAAGCAGTGCATGTGCGTTCATAGTTTGGGCAGCACAGGCGCTGGCTGCTTTGACACAGATTCAGTGTTCTGGTCGTGGGCCGAGGATCAAAGTAGATTACCTCTGCACAGGAGATACTGAGCTAAACGGATTATAAGAGAAGACCAGCAGCTCTCAGGAGGCTTTGGATGCAAACATCAACATGAAGTTATGTTTGAGTTAATTTACTTAGGATGAGGCATGGGGAGAAGACATGTTTAAATGCAGCAAGAGAAAGTTTGCAAAGCTGTTTGATGGATAATGTTTTACTGTTTCGATAAATATTCTTTAACATCCATTTGTTGTTTTGTCCTGCTGTTCCCAATTTTTGGAATAATGCATATTACTTCATTTCTAAGTATTTCATTTATACAAAACTGGTTCTCAGACTTATTGTTTGAAGGAATCTTGATATATTCTCAGCTGTTTGCCGTCCATATGATTCCAGTGGTCCAGAACCACTGCTGACAAGTAGTTGTAAATTATAATTTAGGATTACATTTTCATAAAATCTAAAGAGAAACAAACCACACTTTATGTCACATGTGTCAAACTCAAGGCCCAGGGACCAAATTCGGACCGTCAAAAGTATTTATATGGCTGTTTTGCCTGAAGAAAGCCACATAAGTAGAACTTTTAATGTAAAAGTTGGGTACTCAAATATTAAAAGTTGAATCAAATCAAAACGTTTTTATATGTATTCTTCCAAATTATATTAATTTGAAAAGATGTTTGCTATTGTTCAATTACAATAAGTACTCATCAAATGCATACAGAACTATTTATTGATATTTTAACAGTTTGTTAATGAATACTTTTGTAAACATATTCTGACACCACCAGTCTTCGGAGGACATTTTTGATCTTGATTTATTCTCAGCTGTTTGTAGAGAACCAAAGCTGCTCTATTTTCTGACAGTACAACAAAGTCAATTCTTCATTAGTATAAAAAAATTGCAATTTAAACAGTTTTCCACAAAAATCTGCCTCATTGAAAGAGTAAAATGTTCAACTTTCTTGTAATCTAAATGAGACAGGATTCATTGGATTGAGTCTTTTTTTGCCCTTTCCAATGATTGCCAGTCATTTAACTTCATGATTAATTTTATGGTTTGTTTTATAAGAGTACTATTTTCCCAGAGTTCATCAAGGCAAAGGAGTTCCTCACTTTTAACTTCAATACGAAACCAAAGGAAGCTCCTTTCATCCAATTATGCTCAGGATTTTGTTTTGTTTCAGTTGTGTTGTTTGGTACTCTATGGTTCACTTTATAGTGTGTTATTTTTGTGAAAACTTGCTCTTTTGCTCTTTCCAGTGCACCTGGTTCAAATTGGTACTCAACACACCTGCAAAGCAGTTAGTCTTTCGCTCCTTATTTATATAACCTTTTCTCTGTCCACATAAAAATTTGGGTTCAATCACACAGAAAATGATAACCTATACAAACAAATTTGACAAGTCAAAGTTTACAGAAAGATAATATTTTTAATAACTAAAAATCTCAACATTCAAAACAGTACAAACACAGATCAAGATCTAATTACCTCCAATGCTGTAATGAAACAATTATGTTCAGAGGGAATGGAAGAAGGATATTTTTATACAGCAGACTGTTTCCAGGCTAAGTAGGTTTCCTCTTGATGTGTAGAACGTCATTTTCTCTCCAGTTTCCCAGTATGGTGTTTTAATGAACCCAGATCAGAATTAAATCAGAGAGCTAGTCTCCTATAAATGACTACCTTCTTTTTAGGGGAGTTAAAAAAGGGGAGCTTGGGGAGTCTGTCTGCCTAATGCAACATGCAATGAAAAACTAATACAAACAAGAACATAAATTTGTGAAGGGCTAGAGATTAAATTGCTACCCTCAGCTGTGTTTCTCTGAGATACTGAAGAAATAAAAAAAAATAGAGATTCTTTAAAAGTTGTTATAGGATTTTCTGATAAAGATCTACTCTAATGAAGTTTTCTCTGGGTTTTGGAGTGCTCAGTTAAAATAAATGCAAAGGTCTTTTATTAAACTCTTTTAAATTTCCTACTTTGCTTAATTAATGTCTATTTCCTACTCTGATCTTGTGCTAAATAAGCTGATCACTGATGTTGACTTCAGTGATTTTAGGGA